GAGAGACGAGATGGATTTATTCCGCTTCATCCGCCCAAAACGCAGACGGCCCCCGCTCTTCATCATCCTTCCTACGGGGAACCGCAAAAGCCACGCCGAGCGGATAGACGACAACATTTCCTTTCTCAGGAATAAAGAACTCCGGCCTAGGGGCAGAAATGTGTCATATTCTGAATAAAGCCTCCCAGTAACTGTATATATCTGCGGGAATACACCCCGGACACGTCACAATGTACAGCAAGAGTATCCCAGCTCAGAAAATCTTCACCTTTTATCATTACAAAGATGTCCTGGAGCTCAACTCAGAGTCTGTGCCTAGGCTGAGATGATGTCCTCAATCTGCTGCAGGTAGGAGGAGATGGACCGCATCCATCTGTAGACTGCCGATATCCTGGATGACCACAGAGAGCAAAGAGCCGTCATATACCCGACATGTGAACTTCCTGTCTATTGGGTCATAGAGGACATGTCAGTAACTCCATCAATACATCCCGACGTGTCACCATATGCAGAGACAGGATCACTGTTCAGAGAAGCTCCGCCTCTTATCAGTAAAGGGCCGTCCTAGACCTACGGTCGGCCTGGGCTCAGATGATGTCATCAGACTGCTGCCGACAGGAGGAAGCATTTCCTCAGTCTCGCCTCCCCCAGTGATCAGACTTGTGCAGGCAGGAGGAAGCCTTTCCTCAGTCTCCCCTCCCCCAGTGATCAGTTTGCTGCAGGCAGGAGGAAGCATTTCCTCACTCTCCGTTCAGCTTGGCGGCCTCTATCAGGATACAATGGAAGCAGCAGAGGAATGCGTTCTATGCAATTTGTGCAGGTTGAATGAAAAAACTAAAACTGTGTATTATTGTGTTATTTTAGTGTTATATTCCTTCAAACACAGGCTGGGGGCGGGTCCTGGAACTGACCGTAGTGCTGAAATGCGGTCTGCAGGTCCTGGACATGGCGCTGATCCCTGACACAGGTGAATGAATCACAAGACCGGCTGAATAAAATTACTAATTTGTCAAAAGGAAAAATCAGTTTATAAACAGCTGTATTCCTGGAGTTCCGCTATAAGTATCTGTACATCCCATGCGGCTCCATAAGCCGAGCTCAGGCCACAGCCAGGAGACACCACACCGTTTTATTCCACTCATCATTTTAAACCACATTTATTGTTGTAAGATGGATGTCTGCACCGGAGAGGTTTATGGGATGGAAGTTTCGGTGACGGGGCCGGCCGTAAAACTCAGGAACCCGGAGACAAATCCTTGTTTAGTGACTCAGAGACAGCTGTGCGGTTTTATGTGCGACGGAAAGGTCAGGTAAGAGTCATTCCTGAAATCTGACCACATAAAATTCTCTCAAATATATACAGTATGTTCACGACGGGTCACCGATCCTGCAGGCAAATATGTGGCTACTCCGCGGAAGGTGAAAATTATATTTATTTATATTACGATGGAAACGGTAACATTTGGGATTAACCAGTTCAGCTCTCACCCCAGCACACCGCCTATAGGCCGGAGTAACTTTGTTAAAATGTCACTAAAATGAGGATTCTGGCACAGAGCACACATGAAATAAAGTTTTTTTTTATCCAAAATTAGGCTTTTTTAATATTACAATAGAAAAAATAATAAACAAATTAAAAAAAAAAATGTAATTATTAATAGTTAGAAAGACATTTTAAAAAACCATGAGGAAAAAATCAGTTATGGCGAGACGGGGAAGAAGGAGTTAATTATGGCTAATTAGGTTAAGCTAAAGATTAATAAGGAGTTGCTTTAACTGCCATATGCAGATGGAAGCTCATCCCTTTGATCTGTAGATAAATAAAACAAAAAAGATACAAAAGTAACGATGTTTATGAACAATGTTACTTTGTATCTCTCCATCTCCCTCTGATCACTGTTTATAAACAATGTTACTTTGTATCTCTCTATCTCCCTCTGATCAATGTTTATCTACAATGTTACTTTGTATCTCTCCATCTCCCTCTGATCACTGTTTATAAACAATGTTACTTTGTATCTCTCTATCTCCCTCTGATCAATGTTTATATACAATGTTACTTTGTATCTCTCTATCTCCCTCTGATCAATGTTTATAAACAATGTTACTTTGTATCTCTCTATCTCCCTCTGATCAATGGTTATAAACAATGTTACTTTGTATCTCTCTATCTCCCCTCTGATCAATGTTTACATATATGTTTTGGGGCCATGTGTAGCACGCTAAGGATCCTCAACTGGTTAAACTGAACAGTTTCAGATGTTGTAATCTCTATGAAAAGGCAAAGTGTTACTTATTCTGCATTTACATTAGGTTTGCACATTGTTATAGCCACTGTTGATTGCAAAATATTGGAAATAAAATTGCCATAAGCTGAGAGAGATATAAAATGATTAAATAAACTGGACCTGTTACAGCGATTCAATACTAACAAGTACCTCACAGCATGCACCATCTGCCAACAGAGTCCCCCGAAATTCCTATGCAATGGCTGACATTTTGGAAGTCACTGTTGGAACTGAGTTAAACACCCCCTTACCTTGCATGACAGTATACGTGGCTGGTAATTGGTGGCTCAAAACACCAAACATTGCATTCTGGGAGGGTATTAGCACCCGTACCCCATACCCAGATGTCTCCATCAGCAGATCAGGGTGGTGCTAGCACGGCAGCAGAACATTATGAAACCTGATGGACATTTTATGTGTTTATTTTCTCATTATTTTATCAGAACAAATCTCTCTTTCACAGTAAAAATCCTAAATAATAAAAGGAAATGTATTTCAGAACAGATGGGAACTATGGGAAGGAAATCTAGGAGCAGAATGGAGCCGTTCCAATTAAATGTTCTTACGCTTCATGTTGGAATTTATACAGATTTCGGTAACCTTGTTTGCATAGTTACATACAAAAATGTGCTTAGATTTCTATTCTAATATGTTAAAACATATGTAAACGCCGGATCTGCTTTTCAGTATGCCTTGTATCGTGTTACAGTGTATACATTCTTATACAGAGACAGATGATAGAATAAAATGTACCGAGGAAATTAGGGCTTTTAAGGCGTACTCGTAGAAATTATTTATGTGCATATAATCAATACAATTATTGATAACGTGGATAGAATGACCTAAGAATATGCAAAATTGTGTCGTTAAAAACGTTTTCTTGATTAAAAAAAACAAAGACACAACGCCTGATAGGAGGCGCCCATGCTTACACATCTACATATTCACACATGGGCACGTCACATTTCAACAATTTTTTGTATCGGTATAAGAGACGAGGGATGGTGCAGCCAGTTGGCTTCCTTCCTGATTCTCTTGGCGCGTTTCACCCCACCAATCAAGGGGCTTCTTCAGAAGATAGGCGCATAGCCACAAAATCACTCCAGAACAGATTACAAGGGAGATAAGCCACTCTCCTATGTCATGGTGGGGGACCATGGAGGGGGACAAACGCAACAACGGCCACTGATGAACCAGATCATCAATAGATATCAGAGCTGATGATGAGGCATGCCCACCATCCCCAGCGCAATTGTTCGCACTCCGGAACTTCCGATCAACAAGCTCGGGGAAGGCTCCTGGCCCAGACGGCTTCTCATTGATGTACTATAAGCGGTATGCCCCTCTTCTTTAAACTCGGGCCCCTGAGGCTGGGTTCACACCTGGGCGTACCATAGGCGCGTTATTTCTGCTCCTTTTTTGCGCGTTTTTTCGTTCAGTAAAACGCGCGTTCGACGCTCGTTTTTATACCTCCCTGGCGGTATGATTTTCTTTTCCTTTATTTTCTCTATCTTTTTTTTCAGGGTTTTTTTTTTTTTAACTTTCAAACTTCCCGCCAGTTCCGCCCCTGTGCGACGCGGCCGCTTGCAAGGGACGGGACACGGAAGTCGGCAGCGGCCGGAGGACACAGCGGGGATCGCGGACAAGGTAAGTCCTACGCTGTATTACCGAGTGTGGCTCGGGGGGTTACCGCTTTGTTAACCCCAAGCCACCCTCGGGAATACCAATGGATACGCGCGGAAAAACGCCCCCAAAGAAGCTCCTGTACTTGTTTGGGCGTAGGGAGTTTTTGCCATAGGGATTCATTGGATTTCACTTGCTGAGCATTCTTACAAAGCCAGGCAAGGACCCAATGACCTGCTTGAGCTAGCGTTCCATTTTGTTATTGAATGTCGACTCCTAATTGTTCTCCAAAATCCTATCGATGCAACTCCTCCTATATGTGGGGGACCTGATGCACCCCGATTAAGCTGGCTTCGTCCCGTCCCATGAGGCTAGAGCTGATGATGATAAGAAATTCCTTCCAACTGCAGGACACACCAACGGGGGGCTCACCCCATGGGGATGGTCCGCACGACGATAGAATAAAGGCCGATCCCGACTCCAACAGTGAACGCTCATAGAAGTCACCTTCAGCCTCTCTCAATCTGCAATCCATAGACATTTTATGAGGTATTACTTATCGAAACCAAAATAAATTCCCAGCGAGAGGAAAAAAAATAGAAAGACTTTATAATTCGAGTTAGTAGAATTTGCCATTTGCCATTTAATTTACCTCCCGAGATTTACGAGTGTTCTGGCAGACGGAAAGGACGGCACCCAATTCTGGGCGTCCGCGCAGGGCAGAGCTAAGCTTCCTCGTGTGCACGGGATTCCTGCCTGCCAACCTCCCTCACTGCAATTGTCCAGCACAGAGAGATTTAGTACGTTGAATATGTGTCACCTTTAGTGACATATAAGGTCGGTCAGATTATGTTTGGATCACCGACATCCCCCTCCTCCCCCCCCCCTTCATAGAAGGAATAAAAGGTGGAAACTTCTCTCCAGGAATTTCACTGTTCAGTGCCGTGATGACAGAGATCGCAGCAGACGTGGACTCTGAGCAATGATCCGCTGATCTTTTCACACATCATCTGAGCTGACACGGGGATGTGCCTGAGCGGGAGTCCCCCACAGCATGGACATACCTGGGGCATCTATCCCAGGTGACCGTCACAGGTGGCCCACCTGCCCAGATGTCACCGGAGGGCGCAGAGACGTCAGAGCAGATTCATCAACGGGGTATAAACTGCGGGCTGATCAGGACCGCAGAGTATGTGATGACACTGAAAGAAAGTCGATGTGTCTCCAGCATTTGAATTGATAAGACGGATGGAATATCTGCGTATCAGCTTCTTCCTGAACTCTGGAGGCTCCTCTGTGGGTTCATTCCAACCTCCCTGCACACTGCTCATCACACACAACGATTGAAGGCGTCTATAGCGCCATCTGATCCATTTAACATTGTTCTACATTGTTTTTAATTGTTCGGATACAATGTATAAAAGAATCGTCGGATTGGTGGGCAGTGAAGACGCCGCGTGATTGGTACTTGTAGAAACTCACAGAATGAATTAAATTGATTTTCGAGGTAACAAAAAAAAAACAACAAAGCAGATTTCCTGATGGGGACAACAGTGGACCATGTCTGTGTAATGTATTATGATCAACCACTTGTAGTCTCCATTGGAAGCCCGAGTGACAGGGTGACAATGCAGGAGCACAATTGGGACACAGGGACAGATCACCAGGGATTACTATATAAAAATATGAACCCCTCATAATGGGCACAGCGGGTGTACAGCCCCGGGAACCCAGCACAGGGATGGTGGGAACCCCTCATAATGGGCACAGCGGGTGTACAGCCCCAGGAACTCAGCACAGGGATGGTGGGAACCCCTCATAATGGGCACAGCGGGGGTACAGACCCGGGAACTCAGCACAGGGATGGGGGGAGCTCCTCATAATGGGCACAGCGGGTGTACAGCCCCAGGAACTCAGCACAGGGATGGTGGGAACCCCTCATAATGGGCACAGCGGGGGTACAGACCCGGGAACTCAGCACAGGGATGGGGGGAGCTCCTCATAATGGGCACAGCGGGTGTACAGCCCCAGGAACTCAGCACAGGGATGGTGGGAACCCCTCATAATGGGCACAGCGGGGGTACAGACCCGGGAACTCAGCACAGGGATGGGGGGAGCTCCTCATAATGGGCACAGCGGGTGTACAGCCCCAGGAACTCAGCACAGGGATGGTGGGAACCCCTCATAATGGGCACAGCGGGGGTACAGACCCGGGAACTCAGCACAGGGATGGGGGGAGCTCCTCATAATGGGCACAGCGGGTGTACAGCCCCAGGAACTCAGCACAGGGATGGTGGGAACCCCTCATAATGGGCACAGCGGGGGTACAGACCCGGGAACTCAGCACAGGGATGGGGGGAGCTCCTCATAATGGGCACAGCGGGTGTACAGCCCCAGGAACTCAGCACAGGGATGGTGGGAACCCCTCATAATGGGCACAGCGGGGGTACAGACCCGGGAACTCAGCACAGGGATGGGGGGAGCTCCTCATAATGGGCACAGCGGGTGTACAGCCCCAGGAACTCAGCACAGGGATGGTGGGAACCCCTCATAATGGGCACAGCGGGGGTACAGACCCGGGAACTCAGCACAGGGATGGGGGGAGCTCCTCATAATGGGCACAGCGGGTGTACAGCCCCAGGAACTCAGCACAGGGATGGTGGGAACCCCTCATAATGGGCACAGCGGGGGTACAGACCCGGGAACTCAGCACAGGGATGGGGGGAGCTCCTCATAATGGGCACAGCGGGTGTACAGCCCCAGGAACTCAGCACAGGGATGGTGGGAACCCCTCATAATGGGCACAGCGGGGGTACAGACCCGGGAACTCAGCACAGGGATGGGGGGAGCTCCTCATAATGGGCACAGCGGGTGTACAGCCCCAGGAACTCAGCACAGGGATGGTGGGAACCCCTCATAATGGGCACAGCGGGGGTACAGACCCGGGAACTCAGCACAGGGATGGGGGGAGCTCCTCATAATGGGCACAGCGGGTGTACAGCCCCAGGAACTCAGCACAGGGATGGTGGGAACCCCTCATAATGGGCACAGCGGGGGTACAGACCCGGGAACTCAGCACAGGGATGGGGGGAGCTCCTCATAATGGGCACAGCGGGTGTACAGCCCCAGGAACTCAGCACAGGGATGGTGGGAACCCCTCATAATGGGCACAGCGGGGGTACAGACCCGGGAACTCAGCACAGGGATGGGGGGAGCTCCTCATAATGGGCACAGCGGGTGTACACAGAAGAAACCAATAAGTGATTTAGATCTGCAGCTGAAGTGACGTTTTAGTATAGTACATATACAGGGTCCTTTATGGGTTACATCAATAAATATCATTGATGAGTTCTGTTTTTTGGATTATATGTTTTTCACACACCTCTCCTTCCACCATTTAACTCCCCCCCCTTTCCCTAAGAGCATGATGGGAACTCACGTAGGTGGTATTCCTGCACGTTGCTGATGTAGCCGTAGACTGAAGAATATCCGAATATGATGACCATTATGACCTCCCGGTTGTCAAGCTCCATGATGTGTGCCGTGTGGCCCTCCACCGCGTAGTGCTGCCCATGATTCAGCACCATGGGGGTCCGCGTCGTCCACGATTGGCTGGAGATGTTAAATACCCAAAGCTCATCAGTGACGTTCCCGGCGCTGGTCTCGATCTTCCCTCCGTACATGTAGATCTCATCCTGGGGGGAGCGAGAGAGAAAAGGACGAGTTTAGTGAGCCGGCCAGAAAGAAACATTTATATTACAATTCCATGGAATCCGTCCATAGACACACACAGCCGTTCCCAAAACATTCCTTCCTATGATGTAATAATAAATCTCCAATAGGAATGAAGTGCTGGAAATGTCTGTGTGTACCCCCCAAGCACCTTCATGAGTGCCTCGGGAGCCCCCAGACCCGGGGTGAGCAGCAGAATGACCACATATGTGATTGTTATTAGCGTACAGTCACTTCACCTTAAAACAATGAGGCTGGTCGGGGGCCATTTTTTGGCCCAGGAACAGGTCCAGGATAGGTAAAAGGGGATTCTGTGACCCTCTGAAGACATTTAAACCCACTGTACCCCTAAAACCACCAAAAAACACCTTCCACATTGACTGCAATTCAATGGCAAAAAATTGAAGAAATTGCACAATTTTCACTAAAACTTTAAAGTGACATGAAACCCTCAGATTTTTTAACATAAACCAATACTGTAATGTGCGCCTTACTGTAATCCATGGTGGTTTCCCTTCTCTTTGCTGCTCTTCCTTTTAAATCCTCATGTCTTCTCATGCTTGGGGAGAACTTCCCTTTGCAGCTGATTTCAGATTGCGACCCCCCCTGTTCACTTGCGGGACCCCACATGGGGTCGTGACCCACACTTTAAGAAGCACTGTTCTAGAGGATAAACATGGAGGCCTTGGCAGGAAAGCTGACCTCTCCTGTAGTACTAGTTGCCTGGCTGTCTGGCTGATTTCAGGGTGTTCCGTGCTTTTTGCATCACTGAGACTTGGAATCAGCATACAAATACGGAGCAGTGACTTCACATAATCACTAATTCGGCATATTCGCTCCCAATCCATGACTCCGGGTAAGTCATAGACAGCCAGGTAATTGGGTTTTCAGCAGAAGATCGGGTTGAGTGGAAACCTGCTCGCTTCTCTTGGTAGACAGGTGCACTTTAAGGTGCAATCAGGAGAGATGGAAACATTTCAGGGGTTAATGACATGAGGAAGTTTTCACCGCGCGGTGTTTTACCTCCTACAATGTCTCTGTAGGAGATGATCGCGCCTACTTTTCACATTAATTAGTGAAGTAGTTCCACGTACGTGCTAATGGAGTGTTACCTGTTCGTCAGGTGGGAAAGAGCCTGGGGACCATTCAGCACCGGGTTAGGGGGAAGGGGGGGGGGGGGTAAAGGTGTTTATTTTAGTCCCATTCTTCTTCAAACAGAAGCTGAGTGCGGCCATCAGCACACCAGAGTCCTCTCACACCTCTATGAGAATAACAAACCGAGGGGCTGGCATGCCGGATTGGAGCCCCTCTGCTGCCCAATGCTGATCTATGTGACAGTACAGAACCAGCACCGGAAAGCTACATGCCAGACCGGAGACTCACCGCTGCTCACTGCTGATCTATGTGACAGTACGGGACCAGCACCGGAAAGCTACATGCCAGACCGGAGACCCTCTGCTGCCCACTGCTGATCTATGTGACAGTACAGAACCAGCACCGGACAGCTGCCATCAGCACACCAGAGTCCTCTCACACCTCTATGAGAATAACAAACCGAGGGGCTGGCATGCCGGATTGGAGCCCCTCTGCTGCCCAATGCTGATCTATGTGACAGTACAGAACCCGCACCGGAAAGCTACATGCCAGACCGGAGACTCACCGCTGCCCACTGCTGATCTATGTGACAGTACGGGACCAGCACCGGAAAGCTACATGCCAGACCGGAGACCCTCTGCTGCCCACTGCTGATCTATGTGACAGTACAGAACCAGCACCGGACAGCTACATGCCAGACCGGAGACTCACAGCTGCTCACTGCTGATCTATGTGACAGTACAGAACCAGCACCGGACAGGGAGGTGCCAGACAGGAGACTCACCGCTGCTCACTGCTGATCTATGTGACAGTACAGAACCAGCACCGGACAGCTACATGCCAGACCGGAGACTCACCGCTGCTCACTGCTGATCTATGTGACAGTACGGGACCAGCACCGGACAGGGAGGTGCCAGACCGGAGACCCTCTGCTGCCCACTGCTGATCTATGTGACAGTACTGGACCAGCACTGGACAGTTACATGCCAGACTGGAGACCCACCGCTGATCTATGTGACAGTACTGGACCAGCACCAGACAGGAACATGCAGAACCAGAATCTCTCCACTGCCTAATGCTGATCTATGTGACAGTACATGATCAGCACTGGACCGCGACACGCAAGGGACCTCATTTTTCTCTGCTGCAGTTCAGTAACATTTACAGGTCTGGTCCCTCCCCCAGCCTGTGACTGGAGAGTAGCTGCAGACTGATGAGCTTATCCGTCACTCTGCTCTCCACTCTTAGCACTGCAGTACAATTAATTAGCTTCCTGTGCTGCTTTTCCCTCTCCCTGCCTGAGCTCTGCTGCACAGGTACTACATGAAGCCGATACCAAGTCAGATTCAGCTACTTACACCGCCGTCATTTAACCAAACACACTCACTGATATACGAATGATTGCAGAGCGCCATTGTTTGTTGTTGGCCATTTTTTAGCTCTGCCCGGAGTTCAGCGTTAATGAAGACGCACATTTGCAGACGTTTTTATGATGCAATATGCGACTACAGCACTAAAGTGAACTTCACACTCGCACGTGGAATTATCAGTGCCGGCAATTATCGTTCAGCCCCGCCAGCAAATTTCCCTTTCAACACCTGTAAACGCGTCGCAAGTTCATTGTAAAGCGACTCCGAGCGATCGTTTGGCCGTAACCGCGGCGCCGCTCATCACTTCAACCTGCAAAAGCATCTGAAAAGTTCCGCCAGAGCTCTGACCGGCTCTGCGCCATCTGCTCTGGAAATGTCAGCGGGATTTCGGGACGATGACGGATACTTGCTCCGGTTCTTGTTTTTTTTCCCCTCGCATTGTTCCATTTCTCTGCAGCGCATTAATTGCAATAACGCGTCACGAATGACAGCGTGAGAGCAGAAAGACGTTAAAAAACAGCATAAAAGCCGGTCCAAAAGCCCCCCGCGGAGTGTAATTACAGACAGAAGCTTTATACCGGATTATAAGATTTCCATCCTCGATAATCTGATATTAAACATTACGACGCAGCGTGTGGCGAGTTAAAGGTTTTCCCCCGGACGCAGCAGGGGGATGGAATGAGGATGCGCTATGGCGACGTGCCCTTATCTGTAAGCCGGATGCAACATTTCAATGTATTTAACAGATTGCAAAGTACCGTCTAAGCGCTGAGTACAAACAGAGGGTAACCGACAGATTGAAGGAGAACTTATTGAGAAGAACGGCTCTACATACGGCCATCACTGCTGATTGGTCGGCTCTCCTGATCGGACACGGTGCCGATTAGCTGCCACAGAGCTACTTCTTCTTCTTCTTCACCACAATGCCGCCAGAAGTGGGGAGCCGGCTGCTGTGTGCCAGAGAATTCCGTACAGCTTCCCTAGAACAACCCTTTCCCGTCCGGGGTTCCTCCAGAGGTGGCTGCTGATCTCTAGGCAATGGACAACTTCCAACCCTCACATATGCAGCCGCTAGTGATGAGCAAAATGGCCTGCGTTCGGTTTGCTTGGATGTTCATTGAACCCAACCAGAAATGCAGGTTCAGTCATTGGTTGCCAAGAAGCCGAGGGACCCGCAGTGTCATAGGCTATGGTGCACCTTCCTGCAACCAATGACGCTGTGAGGCTCGGCCACCAGTCAACCAAATGATGCTGTGAGGCTCGGCCACCAGTCAACCAATGACGCTGTGAGGCTCGGCCACCAGTCAACCAAATGATGCTGTGAGGCTCGGCCACCAGTCAACCAATGACGCTGTGAGGCTCGGCCACCAGTCAACCAAATGATGCTGTGAGGCTCGGCCACCAGTCAACCAATGACGCTGTGAGGCTCGGCCACCAGTCAACCAAATGATGCTGTGAGGCTCGGCCACCAGTCAACCAATGACGCTGTGAGGCTCGGCCACCAGTCAACCAAATGATGCTGTGAGGCTCGGCCACCAGTCAACCAATGACGCTGTGAGGCTCGGCCACCAGTCAACCAAATGATGCTGTGAGGCTCGGCCACCAGTCAACCAATGACGCTGTGAGGCTCGGCCACCAGTCAACCAAATGATGCTGTGAGGCTCGGCCACCAGTCAACCAATGACGCTGTGAGGCTCGGCCACCAGTCAACCAAATGATGCTGTGAGGCTCGGCCACCAGTCAACCAATGACGCTGTGAGGCTCGGCCACCAGTCAGCCAATGACGCCGTTACTGGCTGCTAGGACACACACAGAGGATCAGCTGACAAACTGGCCAAATTCCATTCAGCAAAATGTTAGGAGCTTGGCTTTGGGTTGAACTCATGATCGACCTGAAGCTCAACCCTACTGACCACTGGTACAAATTATCCTTTTACTTATGGGTAAGGGGAGCATTTGTCCACATATCACTAGTGTAATGGTGCCCTTCTCCCACTGACCACCAGTAGAGGTGGGTCCTTCTTCCACTGACCACCACTAGAAGGTGGGCCTTCTCCAAGTGACAACCAGTAGAAGGTGACCCAAAGACAACCAGTGTAAGGGGGCACCTCTCCCACCAATCGCCAATGTAAGGGGGCCTCATGCAGACCACTAATGTAACGGGTCCTACACTGACCACCAACATAAGAGGGCTCCACTATGCACCAATGCGGAGGAAAACTAAACATTTTCACTGTCTGCGTTTCTTTTCTGGGCAAAATGATCCATTTCATTACGATCACTGAAAGTAAAGTTGTTGCGTATGAATAAGCCTGGTAGGTCACATTCTAGATAGACTTTCTAGATGATTTATTCTTATACTTCTACTTACTGATTCTAGCCCCCCATCCCATCCCCCCCACCCCCCCCCCTGTATATTTTTACTTTTTTATTATACCTTTTTTCTGATGTCTTCAGGACACTCATTACAATCTATCAGCAGTCAGAGATATAAAGCC